AATTGTGCATCCGAACAACTGATGTTGGCTTTGATGGGCTTGCTTATTATTATTATTATTATTATCGTTTTCTATAGTTAAAATTCTTGCTATATTTTAGTAATTTTTAAACTCGCATTTTTTTCGAAGTATATCTCCATTGTGATTTTTTAAATTTTCAATTTTGAACGTAGGTTACGCTGGAAATATCGATATACAGAATGTTAGAAATTATCACGGTGATGCATATAATAAGCTTCTGCGGTAGCAGTTACATCGAGGAAGAACATCAGACATGGTACTTTTTCTGGTCTACTTTAATCGCATACTTTGCTTATAGATATTTTACGAAACTATTCAAATTGATGATGCACTATCGAAAGTGAGTAGAATTTTTTCCCTCCTGATATAATGATAGATCAAATCTGACATTGGAAATATTATTTGTTCACAAAAAAATTAGCATATAATTTCTATAAATTTTTCAGAAATTGCATTATGTATATTTTATCATACATTTCATGTGTGAGTCAAACAGAAATTGATACATTAATTACATTAATTACAATACTCTTCTTTAAATATTAAATTTCGAGAGATCACATTGCGTTTCTGTTATCTATTGATTTTAGATAAATACAAAAAATGTAACCATTCGCTTATCAATTTATTACTACATAAATTTATAAAAAATAGAATAACAAAATTCAAGTCAGATTTGAATTATCTGTAGCGACACAGCTGAATCTCTTTGCCATCTAATAGTACGGTATATAACAGCAATATAGTAGAATCAACCGAATATTATGTAGAACGCTGCGTTATGCTGTTATTGCTATTTTTGGGACACATATTTCTGCGAAAGCTAAACAGCACAGGCAACAAGTGGGCCCACCTGCCTGACATAGCTCAGTGGTTGAAAGAGGACGATAGTAAAATCGGCATGACACTCCTACTTTTAACTGGTAAAATGTCTAAATACTAATAAAAGTTTAATCTTTTTCTCAACATAAATATTGAAGTACAGATAGATTTTTTTAATTATAAGCGACTGGGAAATGAGTTGTTCCCTTGATATGGACTTTTACAAAATTTGGTTCAATAGTTTGTGATATTTATTTTCAGCATTTGCTCTTCTAATTCGGATTGCTTATAAATTTGAAGAAGAAGAATACAAGCGGCAATCGTTGTTTCAGAATATAGCTATCGCAGTATGTATATATCTTCGCCATATGTCCAACGGTGCCGTCGTGAAAATTCCACTATATTCCTCAAGGTAAACTGTACTATATTTATACTACACGTAAATATCAATTTATTAATCATTCATTAAAGCGACTATACGAGTGAATCATACATTTAAGAAGCAAGTTTTTGCGTTTGTTGCAGTGGAATATATGAGGTACAAATATTTTGGGGAATAATAGCGATATCTCTGATAAACTATGGATACCGAGTGATAAGGAAAATTAAGCATTATACGTATAATTTTATGAGTATAATGGTATTCTTTATCATAAATATGTGGGTGAGGATCTCGGCGATGTTGCACCAACCGTACAATGTGATCCTGTTGCCGATGCAGATCATTGTAAGCTCAATAATTAACACTGTATTGAGAGAAAACGATTCGCTCGATCGTGGAGTTTTCTTACATTATTGGCTGGGCAATGTATTTTATTTCTATCAGGTAAATGTTTGATTTTGAAGTCCTTGATTTTTATTAATGCACATGAATAGAACAAGAGGAATCTCGAGGAAAATATCTTTGATTAAATCTTTTCTTTCTTTTGGATAATTCTTAGTGAAACTTGTATATGTGTAAAAAGCATTGTTTTTTTACAATATTATTTAAATAATAATATATTATTTAAATAAATATTGTTTTTCTATTAGTTAAATTTCTATAAAAAATTTCGTACGAGATTCAAACATTCTAAAGTTAATATACTTCATATTTAAATATGCTTATAGTATAAAAAAATAAAGATTTATCAAATTTCAAATTCTTATAAAGTGTTTTTTCGGCGAGAAACAATATAAACTCTTTTATTATGATTAGTTCAATAATTCATTGAGATTGTCAAAGACTAAACTGGTTACTTATCTCGTACTGTGCATTGATATTTTAGGGAAACTCCAATAGCCTTGGGAGTGTAAACATTGCGGCAGGATATGTCGGTCTACAATCTTACATGCCTTTTGTTACCGCTGTGTATTTAATCATCAATACTTATTCCGCGCCTGTCCTGGCTTACTTCCTGCTCATTTACCATTGGAAAATGAGTAAGATATATCTGCAAGTATTCCGTGAATTCTACAATTGTATTGCGATTGATTAAATTGGTGCGCTCCTTATATTAACGAGAAAATCAATTTATATTTTTACAGCTCCACAGTCCTTAAGAGGATTGTACATACAAACAAGTGTTACATCGCGTGGAGGCTCCTGACGACAACTGCCTACATGTTCTTTATCATCTTCCAGCTTAACCATTTGTTTGTGTTGTCGGTGTACTTACCGAAATTGTTATATGAGGCGATGTATACCGCGACAATGTGTTGCAGCGCACTATTAATGGTGATCGTAATTGCGGTGCAACATGCATTGATTCGTTTTGACGATGTGCATAGATGTCATATTTGCGGGACTGGTCTAAAAAACGGACATGCGTTTGTACAATACCTAGATAATCAAGCGTGATCTAGCACATTAGACAAACTAATGTACTGCACGAGTTATGAAGTTGCGGTAATTGCTGACATAGGCATCTTATGTGCAAACTGAGTTAGCAACATAAGGGGCAAATAGACATCATCAGTTTATAAAATTTCAAGAGCAAACGTTGAGAATTAATAATGCATCATGTTGATGGCAAAATGACGGCACGCGTTGAGCTCGCATTTCATATATAGTATCGTGCTGGCAATATAATGGCAAATTGATGGCACATATATTTTACATGCCATCAAGATGCTATCAACTTGCTATTATCAAATTTAGAATTCACATGAGGGCAACATTTTACACATAATGAGAAAGCATCTTGTCCCTAGTTTGTCAACATCTATTGCAATGACTGACAGTAACATGACGGCATCTTGAATTCATTTGGCTATCAGGGTAGTAGAAACCGGTGCAAGAAACACATGCATTTGTACAAATAAATAAAATTTATATAAACGTTAATGTTTTAGAAAATTAGATTTATATATTATAATTTAAATCGATTTTTATAAGTTTAATTAGAGTCTAATTAATGTAATTAAGTTAGTAATTAATAGCGTTTATACACTCCGATGAAAGACTGATAGAGGTCATTCCAATGGTAAGAAAAATCGATCAAGAAAAATCGTAAACTTCGTACAGCATTAATTGTACTAAGTACAACTAATCGATATATGAGTACTCATAAAATGAATTTATTATAGGAATATTGCTCAATGAAGATTTTATTCTCGTCTTTAAAAAAACATCTTTTTTATTGCATAAGACTAAACCTAAAATGCAGTATTAACAGCATTGAAACGATACACCATAGTATAACGGAAGTTTATTAGTAAAATAAATTTGCTAATGTGGAATATTGTTTAACAAAGACTATAATCAAACTTTCGACTTGTGTTTGTATAACACAAAGAATCGGACTTATTTTATCCTTTTATATTTGCTTCAATCATCACATAATAAAAGGCAAGAAAAAATGGATTTCTGATGTAAGATTTAAACAAGACGAAGTGCTTATCTGAAAATTTGTAACTTGCTTTAAGAAAACATTCATAAATATTATATTTTCCGAAAATATAAAAAAAATAAATTTCTTTTACTAAATGTGTGTACATTTATTAGATCTAGCAATAACTATCTTTAATAATTTCCCTTTATAGTCTCCACTCATACTTTACACAACGAATGAAAATTACGTCGTCAATTTAGAGTAAAGAAAAGGAGTAATGAACGAAAGGTGTATGCGCGTGCATATTTGTATATAAAGTATCATTAATAAAATCAAATAATGCAAAAGCAGTGCAAAGGAAGAAATTAAGTTTGCGGGAGCTCGGTTAATTGTGAAAGCTCGGCCGTTCTGAAAATTATGATTATATTCCACTTTATCGATTGGAAATCAAGAAATCTATGCAATCCAGATGTGACCGAGCACTGTCTCACACAACCAGAGCATTGTCTCGTACCAGCGAGACTGCCACTGCTACAACTCGAATTTAGTTCGATGTCGCTACCTAATAATCAGCTCGCAGAGTTACATTTAATTCGCTAAAGTTCTTACTAATCTGCGATCACGACAAATAAATAACTACCTTTGCGTCCAAACGCTAAAAATGCCCAATTTCTCAACTGTGCGATTCTACAACGAGCTTGGGCGAAATCGAACGTCAACGAGGATGCCAAAGTTATGTAGGAACATATTTATGTATAAGTACTTTACACAATACTAATTATAAGATCGTCAAATGCAAGATGTCTAAACTTCCCAGGCACGCTCGCATTATTATGGATACTAAAAGAACGCGAAACAATCTTTTTCTATAATTTTTAAACTATTAAAATAATCATCTCTTTTTTTTTAAATAATAATGAAACCTAAAGCGATACCTATGTAGGACATCTTGAATAATGACAGAATCAAGAGCGAGAGAAATAATGTGCTCCAACGATGCTTTGCGGCTTCCCGTAAGTAATTTATCATCAAAAAGAAACCGCTTTAATAAAACGAGATGGGAAAACTCGTCCATGGCGCTCATTTAAGCTCGCAATTGATGATCGACGTTGCAAAATATAAATACACACATCGCTATAGAAAAATACCGGTGCTTTGTTCGAGTCTAATCAAATTTGGCAATATTTGACACAGCGTTGTAAGTACATGAAGCTCTTAAAGATCCTCGAGTCCTTTGGATTTCTCGAGTCTGCAGCAACTAAATCACAATACCAGTACTTTCGATAAAATACATGCTAATATATACACTTAACGATATACCCGTATATCTTTTAAAACGCATTTGATATTTCGAAGACGTCAAATTGATGCTGCAAATTGAATTAAAATGGCGAATTCATTCCTAGCTTTGTGCCAAATTCCAAACGTGCCCTTTTCTGATATCTCACGTTCACTCTGAAAAAAAGGAATATGAATATTAATTAATTTCGGAGAAATTGTAGTGAATACGCCAATGACTAAAGGCATGCGGAAGGAAACTTACTTGATCTCTTGCCACTTGATCAACTCGTTAATTATGAATGTCAGCGGAACAGAGAATAGAGAGAATAATGGCACGTGTATCGGGAAGTTTTCGATCTTCTTGCTCTCTTCTCGCCAAAATTTGCGGAATACTATACCAGAGAACATCGCTTGCACACACAATCTACAACAATAATGAGATAGGTGTATTTTAGAATTTAATTTATAATCTAAAAATTTTTCTAAAAGAACAAATTTTTTTAAGCAAACTGTCAATTAGAGTTTTTACTTACACAATAAATACACCAAGAAACCAGGTGCAATTACTCATAGGATTTTTCTTCCATATCGAGTATTCCCTGTGCACAAAGCTAACAGATATCGTAACTGAAAGAAAAGATAGATATTAATGAATTTTTAAATATTGTTCGCTTATGTCAATGAATGTGTGATGTAAGTTAAGATGTGATGTTAATAAGTGTATGATATGTCAACAAGTGTATGTAAGCGTATTGATATAAAATATTTGTCATTTCAGTTAAACCCTGATTTTTAAAAATTAATAATGCATAACTTTTTGAAGAATTGTAAAATTTTGGAAAAAATCAAAATAAAACTGAACTTGAAGACAGAAGAAAAATTGTTTCCATTAATAGAAATTAAAAAATTAAAATTGAGTAATTTTCTATAAAATAAAAGGTTTGACAAACTAGATTAAACTTTTTGGCAATATATTAACGAGGAGATAAAAATATCGTTGGTGCATAATTACCGAAGTGCAGAACTATAAGCGTGAGAGCGAAATGCTGTACGACCAGGACAACAATCGGCTTGCTACCCCAACCGCCCCAAATCTGGTCCCGCGGATCTGGATATATGTACAGGCACTTGGAGTTCTGTGCTACGTAGACGGGACAAAGCGTCAGGAACGAGATGCACTGAGAGAGAATCACTGTGATCACCGTTGGCAAGAACTTGCTGCCGTAGCACCATAACACGAATAGCGTGACCTATAAAATACATTTATTTCTCAGTGTCATCTTTGTTCTCGAAATTTGAATTAATGTTGATAAATAAATATTAATTTACAAGGTTTTATGCAAGAGCAATTAAAGACTGTTTCTCCGAATCTGCCGTCGAAATATTTCCATCAGATAAAAAAAGACAAATTGGATTTTTACACTTATTGCGAGATATATAGTGAAGTTTTATTGAAAAAAATCAGAAGAATTGAGCGTTTAATTATTGTATGATTTTGAATCAATATATCCCTAATATTTTTCAATTATTATTATCTAATCCTGGTGAAAACATTCGCCTTGTTCATCATTTGTCGCGTCTAAATTATTTGAAAAAAATGTTATATTTTAAAAATTGACATACTATGGACGGAATTCATAGA